TTTAAGAAAATGGTCTGCTTTGATGTACTAGTACATTAATTACATGACTATTTTTCAGAAAGACTTTGGTCATAACAGGCCATAAGAAATTTTAGGAATAAGATGATTCAGATTAAAGTAGGAAGAGGAGCTCTTAATAATAAGAGGGTTTAGTAAGTACAACAAAGTTGAAAAGGCAGGTTACCAAATCCAGTAAGTCATAAAGGAGTCTTTAGGAATGATATTTCAATTCCAGACTATCCAGGAGGTTCAGGATCTCTAAGCACCATGAACAGCTTTCAGCAGAACAAGTGGTGGAACCACATCCAAAATTTTAAATATGGTCTTGACAGACCTGGAGACATTTGGAAGAAGAAGGTAAAGTGAGAGCTTTAACAAAACTGTAAGTGATTTTTACAAAGTTTAAAAAGTGATTTTTAAAATCCAGTGTAGTGAAACTCAGAATCACAATAAGATTTCCTATCAAAGAGACAGCTTCCTGAGGCCTCTGATGAAAACAAGTGACTACATCAAAACTGGTCGAAGATATAACTCCAAAGCTCTCAAGGGGAAGTCAAGGCTAATGATATTCAGCAGCCTTCTTTAGCACATGAGATAAAAAAGAAAACAAAATTGTTCTGCAGCACAAAACAGAATCCATGAAAATAGGAGGGAAATGAGTTTTAGCTTGAATCAGTGCAAACTAAACCATCTGGGCAAAATATTCAGAGCACCACATAGTGAATGAGCAGGAGCACGTTGAACGATAATGATAATGAGAGAGATCTGCAGGTGATTGGGGGCAGAAAATCCAGTAAGTGAACAGTCATAAGTGCCCAGTATGAGATATGTGACACAGGAAGATAGGGAATACTGTGATCCTCTCAGGCCACCCAAGGAAATTATATCTGGAAATGTGTGCTCTACTCCAGACCTTAGCATAAAATGGGATCATAGGACTACAGCATTAAAATACCTTGAAAAATCATATTTAGGTGGGGAAAGGGCAATGCATCATCTAAAGGAAAACTGAAGACTAAAGATTTTGCTCAATGGCCCAAACTCCTCTTAATTCATTGACTTGGTTTGCTCTAAGAAGGATTGGAAGGAGTGCTTTCTTTCTTCTCTTGAAACAAGGCAGAAGATTGTCCTGCTTCTTTCCTGAGCAATTTGTTTAAAGACCCAGTAAATGAGAAGTTAATTCCTGAAATTCTCCTGGGACTTCCAGATGGCAGAAATGCTGACAGTAGTTTTATCCTGAGATCAGGGTACTACATATGGAAGTGAGGAGAAAAGAAATAGCATTTGAAATGATGTTAAAGACTGGGAGAAGATGAGAGTTGAGGGACTTTCAGACAGCTGGTGTGAGAAATGGCAAGATGTATTTCAGGCATGGCAAGAAGTCTGTCTGGCTGTCCCTAAAGAGTTATGACTTGCATGAAAGAGATATCCACTCAAATCAGTTTAAGTTAATAGGGATTTAGTCTATGAACTAAGGTAGCCCATGGAACCTGGGGCAGGACAACTAGCTGAGCCTAACTGTGCAGAACTAAGAGTAGACGTACCTTCAAGATCCATCTATTTTTAGGGGGGCTCTAGTTCCTGCTTGTTTAGATATTTTGGCCCCATTTACCTGCTTTTTTCTGCAGAGTGGGTTTTTAAATTCAATTCTCAACATGTATAGGCCCCAAATAGCTATGGCAAAATGACAGGCACACTCTTGCCTCTACACTGTCTTCTTGACTCAGTAACATTGAGTAATTGACTAGACTGAGTTTCTGAGCCCTAAACTCAAATTGCTAGGATTGATGATCCAATTGCTCTAGACAGGCCAGGTATTCAACCCTAGTCCAAACAATTGTAGCTTAATGGGTGGGGCCACAGGCTACTCAGGAAAATGAACAGTGAACTCTTTAGAGATTTTACAGATAGAAATATAGACACAAGAAGGAAATTATGGGCATAATGAAGGTTAAAAAACAAAGTAACCAGGCCATTTTTATAAATGGTTTTAAATGTCAGGCTGAAGGCCTTTTGATTTTATATGGTAAGTAATTTAATCTATCAGATGCCAATAATTTAAGCCACTTAAGCAAAGGATATCTAAAAAAGCATTGCTATTATAAGATTACTCTAGCAGCAGGAGAAATTGAAGGAAAGAATGTTTGAAGACAAAAAGACCAGAATAGAATAAAGGCTGCAATAACCTTAGTTTAGCATAATCAGATTTTAATCTAGTTAATGGCAAGAAGAAAAGAAATAGAAGGAGTTGAAAGTCATTCTACTGATAGAATTGCTTATACCCTGGTTATAAGAATTAAGAATGTAAGAATTAAAAATTAAGTATAAATATATAT